CCGATTTACTAAAACCTATACAAATTTACATCATTGTATAGAGAAAGTGAAGAAAAAGATGTTGTTTTCAATTTTTTATGATAATAAAACATAAGTGGAGATATAAATATTACATTGATATCTTAGAAATGATATAGTGTTTGTAAAACAACATTAAAGTTTGACTACTTAAACTAATTTTTCTCAAACTAAGATTACTTTAACCTTTAACTAGGTTAAGTGTTTTTGTAACTTTCAATGATCGAATGGTTATCTTAATTAAAGAAAAATAAATTGAATATTAATAATGATTTTTCAGTTACGTGTTTTTATCTTTTTCTGGAAAGTGAGATTTGACAAGTACTCGGATAATTAATTAGAGAAGTTTAATTTATAATTATATAGGTTGGAATAATGAATTGGAGCACCATCTCCCTGTTTGTATCAAAAATTTAATTTTTAAGATCGTGTTGTATTATGTCTTTTTCAAAAAAATAATAATAATAAAATAATAAAAAATTTCTAAAAATTAATGGGTGGTTTTGGTTTATTATTTTGGATATGATTTTGGAGATAGTATTGGATAGTTGAATAAGGTGATTATTACGAGGTAAAATTTAAAAATTTACAAAAAAACATCATAGGTGTGCTAATTTAACTAAACACTCAAATATATAAAAATTTTATAAAATGACAAAAATACCCACACTCACCCATAGTGCCAGGTGGTGGGAATCTGGCGTTACGAGGCAGACTGGTTGGATCTGGCTGGACGTGCATCGATCTGACCTTTTCCTATGGATTTGGTTAGAAAAGGCCAGATCGACGGCCAGATATGACCGTCAATGGTCGCAAAAGACCAGATCTTGCCGTTAGTGACCACCATTTCTTTAGTCAGAAAAGGCTAGATTGGCGAATTATCGGCAAGTTTCGGTCGTTTGTAGGCTGTTGTAACAGATTCCGGTTACCACTGACGGTGGTTGTTAGAATCTGGCAACTATAGGTGGGTAGGGGTGTTTTTGTTAATTTTTAAACTTTTTTTTCTGAGAGTATTTAATGAAATTCATAAACTTAATCGGTCTAAAGTAATTAAAAATATTTCATAAATATTTAAACAAACAAATATTTTGGGAATAAGATTGGAAATAGGAAAAGAAATATTAAACCAAACGTACCTCATTCTCAAGATTAATTAACAAATTTTGTGATATTATTGGTTTTAAATTTTGGTATTACTTAATCAAAATTAAAACTCTATATCATTTCTAAGATATCAATGTAAATATTTATATCTCCACTTGTGTTATTATTATCATAAAAAATTGAAAACACATATTCTTCTTCATTTTTTTATGCAAAATGAGTAAATTTGTATGGGTTTTAGTGAATCAGGTTGTGTGACCTAAATTCAACCTAAAATTTTTTTTGTACTTTTGACCCAAATTAATAAAATTCTATCGATCTGTATATTTAAGAATATGTATTATATCATATTTTTAAGAATATATATTGTATGATCTGTATATTTAAGAATATGTATTATATCGTATTTTTAAGAATATATATTGTATCATATTGTTAGAAACATAACAACTTATCGAAAAGATATAATAACTATGGTTTGTTTCACTATTTCAAATCATTTAGTAAATTAATATTAATTTTCTCTTTTCCATTCGTCAATTTCTTCCCTCTCACTTCTCTCCTTTTATGTTTGTTTTCTCCCCCTCCTCTTTCTTTTCTCTTTTCTTCACTTCTTCCTTTATTTTTCGTTTATTTCTTCTCCTCTTTCTTTTTCTCTTTTATCTTCACTTCCTCTTCTTTCCTTCGTCTCTCTCTTCTGTTCCAACTCCTCGTTCTTTTTCTCTTCCTTCTCTCCTCCTCTTCTCTTCTATTTCTTCTAATCTCTCTCTTTATTTGTTGTCGATCGGGACTTCGCCGCTGGCCAAGTTGGCCGCCGTAAGGCGCTTGCATGGCGGCCAGGCAACAGATCTATTTGACTTTCCCTTGAAGAAGTTTGTGCTGGTGCGCTTTTGTGATGGTTTTGGGACCAAAAAAAAAAAAAAATGAAGAAAACGGAACCGTTGTTGGGTTGGGACAGAGAACTGAATGGAAAAGATATGGAGTTTTTTCTTTGATGCGCGATTAGGATTTCTATAAAATGGTTGCTACTTGAAGTATTGTTATTGTGTAAGATTGTAAGAAAATAAAGCGTTTTTATGGTAAATTAGCTTTAATAAAAGAGATACGTCAATTAAGTTCAGTTGTAAATCTAGGGGGGCAAAATAGGCATGCTATTTTGACGGAATACTATAACGGTCTGCAAAAGATGGGGGCTGCCTGTATAATTTTCAGTTGTAAATCTAGGGGGGCAAAATAGGCATGCTATTTTGACGGAATGCTATAACGGTCTGCAAAAGATGGGGGCTGCCTGTATAATTTTCAGTTGTAAATCTAGGGGGGCAAAATAGGCATGCTATTTTGACGGAATGCTATAACGGTCTGCAAAAGATGGGGGCTGCCTGTATATTTTTCAGTTGCAAATCTTGGGGGGCAAAATAGGCATGCTATTTTGACGGAATACTATAACGGTCTGCAAAAGATGGGGGCTGCCTCTATAATAATAAAACTAGTCGGTGTTCACGGATTTGGCTAAACTTATGAAATTTTTTGAAATAACCCTTTTTTTTTTTTAAAATAGATATTAAAAAGGATATTATCAATTCAGGTAAACTTTTCGGAAAAAATTAATAGAAAAATGGAAGTTGCAAATTCTTCAATTAAGAAACAATAACAAGTTATTTAATGTCAGACTTAACTTTAGAAAATGACAAAACAATAACAGTATACATTTAAATTGTTTCTTTTTAGAAAAAAAATAAAATTATTAAAAAAGTAAAAAAAAAATTTTTGTTTGAAAAAAAATAGGTTAGAAAGAGCTTTCTTTTTTAATTGTTTTCATCAATTCTTAATTTTAAATTTTTTTTTTCCAGTTTTCTTAAAAAGAAATGTTATTTTAAAAAAAAATCAATTTAAAAACTAAATTTAATCAGAAAAAAAAATGTTAATAACATCTAAATCCTTTTATCATTTTTTGTTAAAATTAACAATAAATTACAGTTAGATATTTTTTAATTAAATCAAAGCAAGAGAATGAGCTCTCCCGATGGTTGCGTTTTCCAGATCGAGAACGCTGCCAAAGCCGTCATAACAACGGGTACTCTACTCAAATCACTTAGTAACCTTCGATTTTCCTTTACTTCTTGTTTTAATCTCTAGATTGATTTCAAATTTCCATTTCTTTTGCGGGACTGTCACAGGAATTAAATGCAAAGATGAGATTGTTATGGTAATTTTAATTTTATTACTACTACTACTACTACTACTACTATTATTATTGCACTACTTAAAAATTGTCATTTGATGGTGATTTTGGTTTGATTTAAGGGAGTGGAGATGCTAATTGCGTCGAAGAGTTCTAATAGAAGAATCCATTCTGTTCACCGGCATTTTGGCATGGTACTCTCTCTTTCTTGTCTTGATTTGATCTTTTGTTCACTCATATTTTTACTAGTAATTTCCATGTTTTCTCTTACTTTTTTATGCTTCATATGTATATTTTTAGCTTGCGAAATAGACAGAGAGTGATTTAACAGGAGGTTTGAATGGTTGCCAATTAAGATGTTAGAGGTTTATAGTTAATTTGAAGTAAGATCCCTCTATTAGAAGGTTAAAGTAAAGTGAAAATACCAAAAAGTTATTAAAATACATAAAAGGAAATCTCTGTTTTCTCGTTGACATTGTTACGTAGGTTCTAAGGAAGAAAGATTTCATTGGGAGGTGCTGCTGAGAAGTAAAGCTTTATCTTTAATTGTTCTCGTACTCTTAAGTTGATTTATTCTTTTTATTTTTCCCTGATTCAATAAATGTAGAACGATAACCTCACTCTCACTCAAAATCATTTATTAATTAATACGTTGTTGTTGGTGATGCGAACTATGTTGATTTGATTTGATTAATTATATAGTTAAGATTTTCAAATTTTGTAATTTTTTGAGCAGATGGTTAATCGATATTGAATAACATTCTATAATATGCTTTCATGTCTTGTTAAAGTTTTGAATGCCAGTGCTGGTGATGCTGATCCTCTCTACAGGTATAACTTTATCATGTTTTCCCTATTGTGTCTCGGTCAGTTGCTAGGATGTTGTCCTTATCTGAAATTTGTAGGTGGTCTATGTACACTTATCGTTTGCTTATATGGTATGCTGGAAAATTTGTTTTGCTTTGTTAGTGGTCCCAAGAAAGTTTGGTGAAAGCTTTCCCAATAGCAAGACACATAAGTAACATGTTGGCTGGCTGTCCTATTGCATTGGAACCCAAGTTTCTTTATATTGGTCTTCTCCAATGCATTTCTTTTTTAGCCTGAATGTACCTATGATAATACTGTGCATAGTTCTTGAGGTTTCATTAGTTTTCATTTGTGTTTCATTATGCTTAGGTAGGCTTGAAATACCTTGTTTAACTCTTGTTTGTTTGAGTTTGGATCTGGAACATGGTTCCATGATTGTTGCTTAGAGGAGTTTAAGCTGCTGAAGCTGAAGTGCACCTTTGGCATTGAACCTTGAAAAGAGCTCAAGGATGACTAGGTGGTCTCGTGGAGTGAAGCTAGCTATAGTAGTTTGATGTTTTAATCAAAGAGTGAAGATTGAAGTGTTGATTAAATAGGGAGTGTTTTGCAACTGATACTTGTCTTTCACTTTGTAATTGAACATATAAGTATTTTATAGTGGATCAGCTTCTTCTAGACTTGGTCTTATGGATGTAGGCAAGTTGCCAAATTATGTAAAAATGAGTTGTGTTCTTTATTTTCTATCATGGATGATTTGCTTATGTTGATAATCTTTTATGGTAAAGGATTGAAATTTCATCACTCACTTTTGGCACAGTTTTAATAGTAAACATGGTCAAATAACTTTAAAGCTCCAATATGAGACACAAGATAGTACAATAACAACGGCACTAGCGAATGAAAAACAAAGTAGCACCACAAATCTTATATATCAGAACCCTTGGTTTCGCACACTGCAACATTACAAGATGCAGAATTATAGACAAACATTAAGTATCATTTTTTTATCACAACCTAAACCTATTATTGTTGGGGAAGCATTAATACGTTTAGGAGAGCCATGACTTGTTCAAACTAACCGAACCAAGCAATTTAACATCTGCTTCAATGATGCAAGTGTCATCCACCAAATAACCCTGTTTCGGATCTTTCAATGTATCTAACAACATAAATTCTGGAAAACCCAAATCCTTGTCTGTTGGATAAAACATATGGTCTTCAACTGGAATCAAAGAAGAAGCACATGTTCATAAGATCAAATTTCATGGGAAAAACGTTCCATAGAAAAAGTAAAATCATTAACGGTTCCCATTGAACTAACCTTTTCCTTCAATGTGAGGTCCATCCCTTTGATTTTTGACACGCAGAATGAAATTTACAAATAATTTAGCATTAAAAGAATGATCATACGATAAATAAATTGAAATATTTTTTCCCTTGCCCTCCTTATGTCCATTAGGGAAGAGAATAAGATACCTGCAAGACATTAATCAGCGTAAGCTGTAGGCAAATATATAGCGAAGAGAGGTAAATATATATTCAATCAATGCCAAAATCAGTCATGCATATACAAACCATTTGTATGGTCCGAATGATTCAGAAATGTAATTTTTATTAGTCATGGTCGTAAAATTTTTAACTATCCAGGTATGATAATGAGTAGTAGGATCTTCCATCTTTGATAAAAACTCCCCCTTAAAAGTATTTTTGATAACAAAAACCTCCGCACCAAAGACACAAGTGTCTTTGATAAGGTATCCGTTTGATGGATTAAGAAAGGTTTCCAGGTCCAAGAATTTGGAAAAGCCCCATTCTGTCTTCATTGAATGGAAACGCCTTATTCTCCCATCTACATCAGAAGAAAAAGAAAAAGAAAATAAAATATATATACCAAAGAGCTAGAAAAGATAAATGTTGCTGAATTATATGTAGAGAAATAAGCTACCTTGAATTGTAACATACTTGCCCTGAAGCTGATCAAATACAAAAAAATTGAAAATCACGTTGATTTCCCACCCAATAGGGAGAGAACTCAATTCTGCCAATTCTAAGTAAATAGATATATGACCTTCCCCTTTATTCTCCTTGTCCCCATTTGGATAGAGACACAATTTCCTGCAATTGTAGATGAAATTCAAAATGTTAAAAAAGAGATCTAAATATGCATTCTTATCTATAATAATAAGTCCCCTATTTGGCTTAATTCTTCAAAAAGTTATATACAATCAAACAAAGTAGATATTATGTCATTAAATAAAATACCATTTGAAGCCCCCGGCATCAAAATCGTTTGAGATGAACTTGTTTAAATTGGTAAGAGATGAGAAAGACTGAATTTTCAACAAGTAATGACTAGGCGTAGCGTCCCTTAACACTAGAAGAAGATACAAATTTGTTAGATAAGGAACATTGCATGGTTAATCGTGATAAAAATAAATGAACTTACACACACACACACATATATACCTCTTAAGACAATTCCTTCTCTTGAGTTCTTAAACTCCATATATATATATATATATATCCAGTTGCAGAAAGAATTAATAATTAATTGGATTTTGCCTTTTGTTTCTCCTTCCTAATTAGGTATAACTAACTTTTATAATATAATTGTTGGATGTTTGATGCCTTACGAATTCAATCACCCAATATCAGAAAAGAATAAAGTAATTTCTTTGTATTACATCCACAAATTTTTACTTCATGTACATATACCTACCTTTCCTTGTAACCAATGAGTTCCTTTATTCTTTTATCAAGGTTATGTTACTAATGACATATCAAATCAATTTAATCTTTGAAATCTTACTTTTAGGTCCACTACAAGAAATTTAATAATGTCTATACCTATTAAGTATCAAGTATCGATTACGGTTTTGGATGATTGGATCATCATCCAATGATTAGATAAAATTATATTCTAACCAATTATAAATATGAAAGAAAGAATTGACAACAATGTATCCAAGGAGTTTCAAATAGCGACTTTAATCTAGAATATACAAGTGCAAAATGTTTGTTTTGAAGAATTGTATTTTAATTCATTGATTTTCACTAAAGAGTTACAATCTTTATATAGGGAGAATACAATCTATTGAATCTCCTACTTATGTCAATTACAGATTACACAATATAATGCTTGACGAAATAAGGAGATTACTTTATATCTAGAATATTATGAAAATCGTAAGCCTGACATAATTGGAGGATTACAGAATAATTAGAAGATTTACAAAATATTTAGAAAATCTCAACACTCCCCCCTCAAGTTGGTGCCTAGATGTCACATAGTGGCTATAAATGATGAGGACTGTTCGACATCTTCCTTCTTTTCCACAACAACATCAGTAGATTTTCTCTTTAAATTCTTCTTCCTTTGATCGCAATTGTGATCCCATCAGTCTGGATATCCAACAAATTTAAAACATTGGCTCTTGGTATGACCAGATTTGTTGTAGTGAGTGCACTTCTTGTCACCGTTGTTGGGTTTGTTGGATTTTGTCTATACATGCTAGCTTCTATTATGAGCTACCATTGCTAAAGTTTCAACTTTCCCTGATTCTCCCTTCAAGGTAATATGATGTACCGCCTCTCATCGAACCTCCAAGTAACTTGCTTCTAAATTTGGAACTAGGTTTTACGCAGAATTTCTCCACGGATTTGTTCAATCTCTCCATCTAATCCTGCAAGAAATATGTGTACTCGTAATTGCTTGACAAATTTATGATATGCTATTATGTCAACAGGATCCTTCATGACCACTTTATTGTGCTAGCTTAATTCTTGAAATATTTCTGCCAACTCTCTATAATACACAGAGAACGTGGCCTTACATTTTGTTTAGCAGTAAAGGCTCTCTGTTGCAAAAAAAAGACAAGTAACTCATCATTTCTGTAATATTCTTTCTAGCTAGTATACTTGGGAGTTATACTCATAAAATAACAGTAAAACTCTCTCTCTCTCTCTCTCTCTCTCTCTTATTTATATATATAGATGAGTATAAAATAATGGGCCAAACAACTCAACAATTGGGCTGGGCAGTGGGTCTTTCATGGGCTTGGGTAGAACTCTCCATGGAAAACCGGCTTGCCAATGGAGGGTGCCCAAGCCTTTATAACCCACATGCCCACCCTTTTCCCTTTCAATGTGGGATTAGGTTCCTATCAACTTCCATCATAGAAGGCTTTGGAAAGAGCACTCCAGATTTCGTGAGTAGGAGATAAGCATACGTAATGCTTCGTAATTTCAAGAGACATGAACATCAGCAACCACCACTTGACTTTTTGGTTTTTAGCATACCATTTCTCATACCCCTCATCTAAATTTTTTGGTGGTTGTTTCTTTCCACGAATATAGGAAAGTTTTTCCCTATTAGTAATGTGCATTTCCATGAGCTAAGACCACACATCATAGTTCGATTTGGTAAGGGTCATTCCTACATTGAAAGCTCCATCAGATTGAATAATAATAGGTTTTGACCATGATGGTTTTGCCAATGTTTTTAATTTTTAAATAAAAGAGAAAAAAAAAAAAAAAGAGAAAGAGATAAGAGATGAGACACCCAAACTCTCAAAAAGTTCACCAATTTCTCCTGTCGATAGTAGCTGGCCAACGTTGTTAGCTTTAATTGATCATTATCAGATTGGCAGAAGATGACAGTAGCAGAAGATCGGCGACTTCAACTATCGATTTTCTTGGCGTTAGCAACAATCAGTTTTTTTTTTTTTGGCATCAATGTTGGTTTTGGGTCTTTTTCAATTTGATCCTCTCGGTGATGATTGGAATGAATCTGCAATATGATCTTCTTGGCGACAATTGAGCTTCGACAATCGGTTGTTGGGGACGATTGGGTTTTGGCATTGGCTTCAGGACTTCGATGATCTGATTCGTTTGATGACAATTGGACTCCTCCTAACTCCGGTGACAACACACAGGAACAATGATCGATTTCCAATTTGTGGTGCTATTTGTATGGGTAGAGTTGATGGCTAGTATCCAAATTATGTTTAGATAATAGTTGCACTATGAAATTTTGTCATAATACCTATGAATTTCAAGACCCTTCGACGGGGACATTGATGGGCTTAGGTAAAGTCAATAGAGGTCTATACTATTGGGTATTAATGAGTCTCCTAATGTTATTTCTCCTTGTATTACATCCAATAAAATTTCCAATTGTAATACAATGCTTAATAAACTTTTGTTATTTTTATCAAAGATTGGGTCACAATGCCACTATTCCTCATTCCAAATGTCAAATATGTCTATTAGCTAAACAAGTAAGAATTAGTTTTCCACAAAGCACTTCCACTACCACTCAACCTTTTGCCTTGATCCATCTTGACATTTGGGGCTCATATAACAACCCAAATCATGATGGATCTAGATTTTTTCTTACCAGTGTTGATGATTTTTCTTGGGGGACATAGACATTTCTCATGCAATCCAAAGCCCAAACACTTGCCCACATTAAACATTTCTTCGCTATGGTCAATACTCAATTTCATACATCGGTCCAACCAGTTAGAACTGACAATGCTAGAGATTTTTTCAACCATAGTTGTTCTTCCTTATTTTTATCCATTGACATTCTTCATGAAAGTTCTTGCACCTATACCCCACAACAAAACAAGGTTGTTGAAAGAGAACACCGCCATCTCTTAGAATTAGCCTGACCCAAAACACTAAGCTACCATACCTGTCTCATTCTAGGGTGAATGTGTGATCACAGCCACATACCTGATCAACCACATGTTGACCAGCGTCCTTCATGGAAAGACTCCTTTTGAGATATTATTCAAGAAGCAGCCAACCATTGATCACCTCCGAGTGTTTGGCTATCTTTGTTATGTTGCTACTCTTGGATCCCATGATAAGTTCAGATCTCGAGCCACCCGCTGTATCTTTATGGGCTATCCCACACTTTAGAAAGGTTACAGACTTTATGATCCAACTAAAGACCACTTTCTAATATCTAGGGATGTTATGTTTCATGAAGACATATTCCCTACTGCCAACACTGACTTGGTTCCATCTACATCTCCACGACTGTTTTATGATGATGATGCTCCCACTTTACCAGATCCTATTTTTTTCTATGATACCTGCTCCTAAGGCTTAACAACCTACTATTACTGATTCTGATACTAATTCTGATACTAATTCAATGACCATTGACAATATTCCAACTGAGTCATCTCCTCCAAATTCTCCTCCAGAGTCTCCTGATTTAGTTCTAGCATTACCCATATGTCGAACTACTCGTTAGACTTGGCCACCAATCTGGATATAGATTATGAGTGTCCTACAGTATCAGATTCTTCAGGTACTCGGTACCCTACCTCTAATTATGTGTGTTAGAGTAGGTGCCCTAGAGCAATCAGTTATTGTAGAATTGACTCTTTGTAATAATGTTTATTGATCAATAAAAGATATTTTATTCTATATTGCGTAAATCATATTGTATATATTGATATATGTCCTTAGAATGGTCGAACCGTGATGAGGGTATCAAGTGTTTCAAATCTTGATGGTGAGAACCCTATGAGCACATATGGTGGCCATTCTAGAAACGTCTGTAGCCCCAACATTATTCTGAAGTAAGGGCACAGATAATACGGTAAGACTACCATAGTATTAAATGACTCTATCAAAAGGCAGTGACTGATCTCATTTGTTAAGATTGTTTGGTGACAACCTGGTGCAACAAAGGGTGCTTGCTGTAGACAAGTTCACTAGACTAACCCACCAGAGGATTCCATATGGATGGTAACCCTAGTGTCTATGGAACAAATCCTCTAACGAATAGTGGTGCATGTGATCCTTAGACTTGAGATCACCGGAGTGCCTTGTGCACCGATTGGTGTAGTTTGACACTAGCCCAACGCAGTTCTATTCAGAGCTGTCAATACGGTAGTGATTGGTTGCATCAAGGAGTATATCAAGATTATGGTGGATTGATAGAGGATTCATCACTCTCGGATACAAATGAAGTTATCTCACAGCGCAATTCAGTAAATGGCAAAGACACTAAAACTGTGGCCACATGGGATTGAGTTGTTGCTCAATCTAGTTTATTATTCTGATCATTGGTCCAGTAACTAAGGTTGACACTATTTATATGCCTTGGTCTTGATGAGATAACAAATGATGAAAGGATTGAATTGTATGGTAACCATATCGTTGACAGGTAGCTACTTTGCTGAATCCGAATCTATCGAGTAGCCATGATGCCTTGCTAGGGGCCAATCTTGGTTTGTGTGTAGTGAGACGATTAATTGGTATTAATTGCGATACTACACACTGTCGGTATGATGAGGAGCCTATGAGTCACACACATAGAAAATAATTTAAGAATCAATTTGTGTAAAGGGCGTTTTCGTCTTTTTAGGTGAAAGGGTATTTTGGTAATCTCATAGTACAATTAAATTTGCTAAGGTTGTTGCCTATATTTAATTTGATATTAAAATTAAATAAGTGAGATTATATTTAAATATATGTACGCATATATTTAAATGAATTAT